TCGCAATTTCCTTCATTTCACTAAATATTTAAATTAAAACTTGTATATCACCTCTTTTTCTTAAATTTTGAAGTTTTTACTTGGCCCACCAAACATTTTTTTTCTTGATTTTTGGCCCCTCGACCAAAAAAGTTTGCCCATCCCTGGTCTAAGAGATACTTTTTTTTCTAAAAAAGTAAGAATAATGCAGACAATTATCTAAGACAAATAATATCGGATTTTAAAAGCAAGATGGAAATCAAAAGCAATAAAATAAAAGATAAAACTAATGCCTTATAAAGTAAATAAGCCTAATAGTCGATGGCTGGCATTTGTTGAATAATAATAATAAAGTAAATAATCGAATGCACGATTCGAATTTCCCATATCGTCTGAAATATATTGCGATAATTAAAATTCACGTACAACTTAATAACTGCCGAAAATACCATTACAGTGCACTCCCGATTATCCGGGCTAATCACCGGGACAGGTCACACGGAAAATCGAAAAACACTGATAATCCGAAAACTCCTTTTATTAAAGAAAAAATCATTATCAGTACAAAAAATATAAAAATTACTCACATTTGCATGCTGGATAACATCAAACTAAAAATTTTCCTTTTAAAAAAATGTGTAATGCGTCTTCTTCATATATCGATACACATATTTTACGAATCGCAGTAATGTCACCGTAATCAAATCCTCCCATATAATCTAATAAATTTTCCAGTTTCCACAGAGCAGCAGTATGAGAAATTGTATTTCCCTCATTTATTACATCTTCTGCATCAGTTACTATCATCACTATTTGATTTAACCACATAACGATGTCTTCATCTGTCAAATAATGGAAACCAATCTTCCAAATTTTCTTCATCAAGAATTTCGAAACCTCAGATTCCTTTTGCTTGTTCGAGAATACTGTTATCATATTTTTCTTGAACATCTGAAGAAGATTGTTCATCAAGCGGCATGATCTCTCTCCAAGATCGTGATAACATAGACGATTTTACCCTTGACCATGCTGCTGATATTCCATATACTGTAATCCAATAACGAACATTGCTTCCAGAAATTTTGTAGTGTTATAACTCCATGAATCAGAGCTTTTTAATTTTGAAAATGTTTCTCTTTATATTTTTTGTGACTCCGGAATGAGCACGGATAATCGAGAGTGTACCAGGGCTCGAAAAACAGCCCGTCCTCGACGGTCAAAAATTCTCCGCGGACAACGAATTTCTCGAATCCGACGTCCGCGCGGACGGCCTTTTTCCCGTTAATGTTCGTGATACATTTTCAACTTTTGTTATCTTACAAGAGTCTTGTAAGTTACAAGGCAGCAACATACTGCGCATATATTGATGTATTCTCTGTCTGGGAGTACTGCAGCGGTTGAAAGGGGCTTTGCAGCAATAAACTTACAAAAAAACACAATACGTACTGGTCTTAAACAAGAAGCTTTAAAAGCAATTATGAACATCTACCTAAATGGAAAACCCCTTTCAGATTTCTGTTCAGAAACCTCTGTAAATCATTGGCTTGATTGTGGAACTGGCAAACGTCATATTTGATTCATTTAAAAAACGCAGTACCCTCAGATAACTTGACCCTTGTCATTTAAATTATTTCATAAAAGAAATACTAGGTTACTATTAGTGACCTAGTATTTCTTTTATTACTGTATAATGTAATCCCAGTAACGACTAATTCATTGTGCAATTTATATAAATGTTTGTAATAAATAGGAGAAAATTATATTTTTATTTATTTAAAAGCGACGGGTTAGTTTCAACGGAGGACGGGTGCATTGTTGGACAAGCCGTCCTCGGGGACGGGTAAAATTTCTGAGTTTTTTCGAGCCCTGGAGTGAACTGTATTTGAACAAGGTGGCTACCAGATTTTTCAACAAAAAATGAGGCACTCAAAAATATTTTTTATCTCTTTCCAAAAAAAGAAAATCATTTCTTTTTCTGTCGTTTAAAGTTCAATAATTTTTAAACAATCAATAAAATTCAAAAACATTTTCTAAAACTGAACATCGTGATTTCTGATAAATATTGCAAAGAAAAAAAACTTTTTTTTTTAAAAAAAAGATATAAAATTAAGCACTTTTTACGAACCCCAAACAAAAAAAAAGCACCTTTTGATAACGCTACGCACCATGTTGAATGCGCAATTCAAATTTTACATGTACAGTCGAATCCCGCTATAATGAAAAAAAATGCAAAAAATTTGGATATAGTGGACACATTACTGAGTCCACTATATCCAAATTTTTTGCATATGACAGTTGAAAATTGGGTTTGCAATTTTACATAAGTCACTTAAAAAATAATGAACTAATTAACAGATAATAAAGCAAAAATTGATGAAAAAAGTACTTACGGTTTTCTAACATTTTTAAAGCACCTTGGTTTTTGAGATTTACCTATGACAGTTAGTTTTCGCTTTTCCGAGCCATTTATGTTAGCACAAACAAGAACACTTTGGAGAGTTTCCCATTAGTGCATTTTTCTCCTTTAAATTTTAACGCCTGATTGTGAATCAATTTGTAAAATAGTCCAGCTTCGTCAGCATTAAAAATGTCTTTCTCTTCATAATTCTGTATAATTCTCGACCACACTTCAGTTTTCCACATCCGTTGCATCAACACTCGCTTCTTCTCCAATAATCTTACCTGAAGAAATATTATTCCGTTCCAGTCATCCACTGGAGCACACAAAATCCCTTTTCTCTAATTTTTCAGCAAACTCATTCGCTTTGATTTGAAGCACAGGAAGATTTCTATCCCGCTGAGTGAACCATTTAACAAAGCTTCTTCTACGTTTTCTCTTTCAGCTCCACGCAGTTTTTTTCGATGAAACCATATTTTTGTCGTATGCGGCAAGAATTGCACTTCGATTTTTCCAAATGTTTGAAACTGTAGATTTTGACAAGGAAAATTCCTTACACAATGCCGATTGATTGGTTCCATCTTCAATACGCTTTGCAATTTTAACTTTGTTCTCTATCGAAAACGCTTTTTTCTTTCCATTTTCACTGCTTTTGAAACAAAAATCTTGTCTCAAATAGATAATGTAAGAACATGAAAAGAGCAGCTGCGGAATGAGTTAAATTGTTCCCCTTCTCAAGGGGTGATTTGAAAAAAATATGTTTTGAACAGATAAGAAAAATTCCAAAATTTCAGCAGGTGGTCAAGTTAACTAGTTGTAGAGCAAGCTTGGGGAAAAGAGACAACTTGTCAGGGAGGGGGGAGTATAAGATTTTGTTCGACATTTATTACAGTATAGTTAAAAGTGATAAGCATAAAGGAGTGAAATATGACGCATTTTATAGGAATGCATTCATTTTCAGTCCCAACACCTACAAGTTTAAAGATGGAGGACTGAAAAAAGATATTTAAAGAAATAGAAATTTGAGTCCACTATAACCGAGTTTCCAAGATCTAAGCTGTTCACTATAAACGTTAAAAATAACATTATTTAAATAGGAGTACGGACGGGACCGCTAAAAAAGTTCACTACATCCCAGGTTCACTATAGCCTACAATTACCCTACGGACCCTACAATTTTTTAGCAAGAATGTCCAGTCGCCGCGATTTCTCAACAGGGAAGACCAGAGCCTGGCTAAGGTAGGGGCAGATACCACCAAATCGAATAGAAAGTTTATTTTACGTTACATTTCTTTATGAACTTTTTTTTTAATGTTCGTTTCATTAATTTATCGTATGAACAAAATTTATAATTCGTAAATACATGGCTTTCTACTAAGGCGGAATTCATTTTCACAGTTACTATGGACACAAAAGCCTGCATTTTTACATATTACAAAAGGATATATGTTTACAAAAATACAGGCTTCAGTTAGCCCTCATGTCAGCAAATATTTTTCGATAGATGACGAAGTTTATAATCACAAAACCGCATTCAGCATGACGGACAGAACGATTGGACTTAATAGCTATTTTAGGTTCTAGTCAATTTTCTCGTTATCTATAATAAGGGGAAAAACTTATAGTAGGGGAGAGTGGGGTCAATTGTAACAGAGCAAAAATTTCGAGTGTCGGGTTCTAGATTTGGTTCCTAGGTGGCGCACAAGGTGTATTTAATAAATCTACATGTACACCCCTGCTGGCAACCATTTTTATGTACTTTTGAAAGAGTTACATCACAAAAGATATTTTCACGCTACGCAAGTACTTTTTTTGGTATTAGAATATTATATTGTAACAAAGTAATTTTGTTTAAACAAATAAAAATTATTAACCGAATATGTAAGTGGACACCTTAATTAACATTTCAAAAAAAAAAAAAGATTAGTTTTGCTAATTAACTAGCATTGTTTTTAACAAATGAAGCTGAAATGGCGTCTTGGGGACAATTGTAACAATAAGTAAAGGGACGATTGTAACAGCTGAAAATAAATAATCTTATGTTTACAAACCATTACTTAACTCTTTAAGAACCACCAATAGTTTCCTATATCATTTATATTATGTTGCATGTGCATTATTTTATTTGTCACCTTTCACAGCATAAATTAAAATTTTTAACCCCTTAAAGTTAAAAGTTTAACCCTTTAGGTCTCTGCTCATTATTATTTTTACTCCTAAAATATCACTACTATTTTGATCAATAAAAAAATATATCACAACTATGATAATATGTATAATTAACTATGTTTTAGTTGAATTTATGAACTGTTACAATTGACCCCGTAAGTGGGGACAATTGTAACAAGTGCACGACTGTCAAAAATTGTTAATAACTAATATAATAACATTTAAAATAAGGTATTTATTTTTTTTTCTACTAGAGGAGAGTCTACTTTACTCGTCTGTCAATTAATACTAATAATATATTGGATTTTTTGTTAGTTAAAAATAGTTAAGTAAAAAATGTTACAATTGACCCCACTCTCCCCTATACCTTTAAATTCCCCCCCCTATTAAATACCTTAACTACTGAAGCAGAAGGGGGGAAGATTATTTAATGAAAGATTTACACTTGACAACGTCCATTAGTATTTTTTATTTTAACAAAACATACAAACACATATAGATTGACATTTTTTTTTCAAAACAATAACTGTACAAGAGAACAAGGGCGGTAAAAAGGAAAAAGTTTTTTTCATCACTTCATTTACAAAAACCTTCTTTCCTTAGAAGAATCTCTTTAATACAAAAGTTTAAAAAAGTAGGGGAGGGATAAAAAAAAAAACAAAACAGCAACTCTTTGTACTTTAGTGTGAAGCGTAATGCGAAAGTTCATCATTTTTAAACTAATTGCGACTCAAACTATTGATTACAATAGAATTTTTATTTCTTCTTCTTTCAATAGATGATATAGATCCAGACAGCTGTTAAAATTATGTAATCTCATTTACAATCCAATTCATATAGGGCAAAATGAACAGTTGCCACAAGATGATTATGTGGAACAAGTGGCAATTAAAAAACTGTTCCGCTGCGACGTCACTTTTTTTCTTTTGGTCAAAAATTAATTCCATTTTATAATTATTTAAAAAAAAAAAAATAAATAAATATGGAATTATGATTATTTTATAATCTGAAAAATTATTTCACATTTGTTTTTTAAAATTATTTTCATTTTAGAAACGAACCTCGTCGATAGAATGTTTTGAGAAATGCACTACATCAGTAGTTTTGATAGATTTTTTGAAAAAGTGATCACAAATGGTATAACTGGCCAGCAGCATGCACAATCGTCACACTCTTTAGCAATTTTATCCAAGAATTTCAGCCAGGGTTTGAAGGACCTAAATCGGTTTTGGACAGGACACATGGGTTTTACTAGTGTCCAAAACCTTGAAGATAAAAATTCTTTATGTGTAACTATTGCACACATAAAAATGGCATATATTAATAAATATTTGATACTTTTTATAAAAGTTGCTTTAACATATTTAAAAAAATTATATAACTTTCAAAGCTCCACACTTCATTGAACAACATAAGTGAATACCTTATCCTTTAAATATGCTTTTAATACTGATAAATTATGTTTTTGCACAAGTATAAATAATGCAATATTAAAAATAATAATAAACTTTTTTAATAAAACTTGTCTTTATTTTGTTTCTTGTTCAAAAATTGACCTTTTATTTCTCAAAATATTTAAAAAAAAGAAAAAGTGATAATTTGAATAAAAGGGTTTCGCACCGAGACGGTTTAAACCGTGGATTCATCCGTTCTGTCCTGCCAACTCTGATGACAGTGGCTGAAATTATTTTTAAACTTTGTATTAATGAGATTCAACTTCATTGACATTATATGCACAAAGGAATTATTATTTTCCCTTGCCAAAATGGATGACTTTCAAAGTACAAAAATACCGCATACTATAAAATATTTAACAACTTTTTTTTTTCCATCTTCAGTCAGTCCTTTATACAATGAAAGTACATATTTTACAAACCCCCTCTCCCCTGAGACACTGAAATAATTACAGAACTATTAATACAAGTTTTTTTTTTCTTCAGTTTTTATATTCTTCGGTAAAAAATAATTTGTTTCGAATAAAAAAAAGAGCACATCTTTTGGCAGCTGTCACACAGTCAATATCACCTTTCCTTTCATTTGCGCAAACACAACTCTCTTTTATGCCCCCTTTTCTTTTCATTTGGGCAACACAACTCTTTTTTTTTTTGCCCCCCCTTTTTTGTGCTTCTGTTGCATGAGCGGCTCGTTAACAACGATCTTAAAAAAAAATTTTTTTTTAAAAAAAAAGGAAAAATAAATGAGAAAAAAAATAAAATGGAATATAAACAATGAGAAGATGGAAGATGTCATTCATATAAATAAAAAAAATGATGCAGCGAAGGAGGGATGTTTTATCAAGTCTTGTCTTTCTGTTGAGGTTTATATCGATTGTAAGGGGAGTAGGGTGGCTTTGATGGATTGTCTATGTGGATGCAGGTGGTGGGTACGCTGTCCTCCACCATACCCAGCAACCAGTTTTTACACTTTTTACTCTGTTCCTCACTCACGTTCACGTCCAGCCACGACTGGTGCCAGCTGCGGAAACGTCGGTTCAGCTTGTTGGACACTCTCCTGTGAGACTGCAAAGGAAAACATTATCCATTCATAAAAAGAGAAATCATGTATAAAGCATTTAAATACTACAATTTTAAAGGAAAGTTTCAGCAGAAATTCCAAACCAAAATTTTAAAGAAGAAAATAATGAAAAATATAAAAATGACAACCACAGCTCCCTGTGAAAGAATTGCAGCGACAGGACGTCATTGTCGCAGAACATTACAGAGTTCTTGCTGAAAGATTTTGCTTTTGAGAAGTAAAAAAAAAGAAAAGAAAATACTTTTCTCTTCTACAGAAATTTACAAGTAATATTTGAATCATGCATTTAGATAATCACGTTTTCATGCTCTCGATTTACACCAATAGTATTGCGAAACGATGCAACGTTTCAATTGTATTTTTGGCATTTATTGATATTGATTTTAAACATCGGGATATATTTCTAACACGCGTGGTACGCGCACCTCCAGGGGTATGGGAACAGTTTAGCGGGTTACAGTTCTTATGCGAAATATCTTGAAACAAACAAAAATTTCACAAATTTTTATTTAAAAACAAAGATAGCCATGAAAATTTATGATTACATATTTTTCTATAGGCTATTTTTTGCAGATTTAACAGTTAGTGGTGTCAACAGCCAGTTGTAATTTTTAACATTTGTGCAATTTTTTATAGCAAAAAAGACATTAAGTTTTTTTTTTGTGGTACACAGTGTTACGAAAATTTAGAAAGGGTGCACAAAAGTCATAAGTTTGGGAAACACTGCTGTAAGGCAATAATTCTATTGAATTTTTTGGCACTTATCGCTACTGATTCCTCCATAGTTTTTAAATCCGATACTTTTCATACAATATTATTTATGACAACGATCTAATCTCGAAACGTAACACACATTCAAGGCGTCCAATTCGAGTGATTTCGTCGTCTTTAGGCAATTACTACTACTGATTTCATGATTTTTTATTATTATTATATATTTTTGTGATCATTATTAACAAAAGGGAAAGAAGAAAATAATTTGAGTGCCCCTCCCCCAACAAAATACTCCATAATATTAGAATAAAAAATTATATAGTTTTTTCTTCTGTAAACACTGCCCGTTTGTTATTTTAAATGAGTAACATATATATTCGTTGGTATTAAAAGTATCTTGCAAAAATAATTAGTGCTAGAGAGTTTTGGCGTAGATTCAGCGCAAAAAGATTCTGCCACAGGGCAGTTAGCTGACTTCGGGGGGGGGGGGGGNGGGGGGGGGGGGGTGTAGATCAGCATAAAAACACAAGACCTCGAGAGAACACGACAAATGTCTAAAAATTACTTTTTCTGTACCCCAAAGGTTTTGTAAAAAGTCCAGGAAAAGAAATAGCAAGAATAAATCAGATAGATAGAAAGAAATAAATCAGAATCAGCATAAAAACACAAGACCTCGAGAGAACACGACAAATGTCTAAAAATTACTCTTTCTGTACCCCAAAGGTTTTGTAAAAAGTCCAGGAAAAGAAATAGCAAGAATAAATCAGATAGATAGAAAGAAATAAATCAGAATCAGCATAAAAACACAAGACCTCGAGAGAACACGACAAATGTCTAAAAATTACTCTTTCTGTACCCCAAAGGTTTTGTAAAAAGTCCAGGAAAAGAAATAGCAAGAATAAATCAGATAGATAGAAAGAAATAAATCAGAATCAGCATAAAAACACAAGACCTCGAGAGAACACGACAAATGTCTAAAAATTACTCTTTCTGTACCCCAAAGGTTTTGTAAAAAGTCCAGGAAAAGAAATAGCAAGAATAAATCAGATAGATAGAAAGAAATAAATCAGAATCAGCATAAAAACACAAGACCTCGAGAGAACACGACAAATGTCTAAAAATTACTCTTTCTGTACCCCAAAGGTTTTGTAAAAAGTCCAGGAAAAGAAATAGCAAGAATAAATCAGATAGATAGAAAGAAATAAATCAGAATCAGCATAAAAACACAAGACCTCGAGAGAACACGACAAATGTCTAAAAATTACTCTTTCTGTACCCCAAAGGTTTTGTAAAAAGTCCAGGAAAAGAAATAGCAAGAATAAATCAGATAGATAGAAAGAAATAAATCAGAATCAGCATAAAAACACAAGACCTCGAGAGAACACGACAAATGTCTAAAAATTACTCTTTCTGTACCCCAAAGGTTTTGTAAAAAGTCCAGGAAAAGAAATAGCAAGAATAAATCAGATAGATAGAAAGAAATAAATCAGAATCAGCATAAAAACACAAGACCTCGAGAGAACACGACAAATGTCTNCGCATGCGTTAATAACGTAAACAAATATTTATTTTGAATTTGTATTGATTTTGTAATTGTCGACCAGTGTTTTAGAGAACAAATAATGACTTTGTCCAAGAAAAAACACATTATAGCTGAGTTAAATGAAGAGTGCTATGTTTAATGTCTAAATCAAAATCTTGGCAGATTTCAATGTGCTGTTGGATGTTGTCCGCCATTGCTTCTGTGGTTAACGTCACGTTGTAATCCAACTGCAGTTGAATTGGACGGCAATTGTAGTTCAAGATGAGCGGTCGATGACGTATACTATCAAACTCACAAATGGACCAATCAGTGGTTAGCGCTGATTTCCAGCTGACAGCGTCCGGTCCTAAGAAACCAGGCCTTTACGTATTTTACTTATGTATTTCTTTTCTCTATTCCTGGACTTAGTATAAAACCTTTGAGGTACAGAGAGAGCAATTTTAAGAAATTTGCCGTGCTCCCCTCGATAGAAACGTTTTTGTGCTTTTGACTTCCAGAGCCGGTACCCCTTCACGCCCGTCAGTTTCGGTTGTTATTTTTTATATTTCTCATATTTTCATTGCTTTTTCTTTAAAATTTTCTATTGCATAACATACATTGTTACAAAGGAAAAAAAGTGGAAGCAATGATTTAAGTAGCCAATTAAAAAAAAAAAAAGAAAAAAAAAGCAAACTTTAATGCACTTAAAAAATATTTTTAGGCATCATGTACATTACAAAATAATTTTCAATGAGTTTACATGATCATGATAAAATAACTCGTTTTTGATAGAGAATTCTTTTCATGATTATATATGCTACTTTAAAATGATTGAGATTTTTCAAATCAATAGCTGAGGGTGGAAAATGAAGCCTGAAATTGAGAATATCTTGCAAAATGCAGCAGAGTTGCACATGTGAGAGCAATAATCTCACTGAAGCCCAGCTCAATAGGCACACAAGCATTTTATCAAACATGTAAAATTATTTGCACTTTTATACGCCATAGACCGAAGGTACGATGAGATGGATTGCAGTTGAATGAACTGCAAAAACATTGTATAGAACAATGTGAAAAGTAGGCTTTTGCATAATACATGGCGAAAATCGCCACGGTACAAAAAAACCTTTTATTTTCAGAAAGGGAAAAATTAAGCACTTAAAAAAAAAAAAAATGAAAATCGAAAATAAGCACCTTAAAGCAATCTTATAAATCTTAATTTTTTTTAAAAAAAATCATACTGCAGTACTGGCAATAGTACTATCTGTTGAGGAATAAGAGAAGTATTTTTCCCATGGGATATTTTATCACCAAAATTAGAGAAATCAGAACATACGGGTAAACAGGAGATAAGTCGTAAAATACAGGAGTCTTGGCAGGTATGTTTACAGTTCTAAGATAATAATTAGCTCTTTATAAATTATAAAATTAGCTCTTCATTAATGCTTCCATTTTTCCTGTGTAAGAGAAATGAAAACACCCATAAAAAACTTCCATGTTCTTTCAATTTTTTTAAAAACTTATTTTCCTTTATAATTATTAAGAAAAATGTTAACTAGTAAATCCTAATTAAATTTTTCTTTGTTTTTATTTCTCTTAAGTTATTTAAGAAATTTTTCTTCAGGGGTTTGTCCAGGTGTTTTTTAAGAGGTATCTATTTTGTGAAAATTTAGATGTAATTTGCAAAGATTAAAAAAACAAAATATGGTAAAGTAAGAATATATTTTCAAAAATTGTCATAAATGATTTTATTTGTAGTGACAAGTAAATTTCTATATATTTTTCCATATATATTCAAAAACTTTTTTTTTCTTCCTGTAAAATTTTGGGCTAAAAGTTGTACCTAAGTTAGAAAATGCATAAAAATCATTGTCCATAGTTACATTTCAACTTGAATTTAATAAAAACATGCATTTAACAGTACTAGTACTAAAAGTTATCATTTTAATTATGAGAACATTTTCAACTCGGTCATACAAAAAAAATGTTTCATATTCGAATTTAGATTTCCTGCATAAGTTTTTAGAGGGAGAGGACAGCCATGGCGTTTCATTTTAAAAAACCCAGCGAAAAAAAAAGCTCACTTTGATATGGCGTAAGCAATCAGCCAGGCTGATTACATTGCACTATCTGACCGAACACGCGCTACCTTTTTGTTAAAAGACAGTTGGCAGAAAAGGTCCTCTTTTCCATAGATTGCGACAAGAACAGGGTTTGCATGAGAACTTACTCTTTTATTTGTGAAATTACTGTTTCTCCTAAAGTTGAATTTGTGAGGCAAATTTACCCTGGATAGACCACTGTCCTTAGATTCAAATATAGAGTAACGAATATTAATAGTTATCAAATAAAAGTGTCATAACTGTAGTACTACAATATTGTACAATCCTTGAAATTGACGATTTCATTAACTGATTTTTTTTTCTGTACAAAAATGGAGTGGAATAATTGTTTAACAATTTTTTATAAAACAAAGATAATTAAATTAGGTTTTTAACAAACATATTGTGATAAAAATGTATAATAATGAAATTTAAATAGGGTAAAATTAATTTCTGAAATAGGAAAATCATGTTTACAAAAAACACCCTGTAGAAGAATTCAATAAAAAATTAAGAAGTTCCACAGTTTAAAAAAACGTAATTAAAATTATTATTATTTTTTTTTATCCATAATCATTTATTATAATTTCGTGATAATAATACATTAATAAATATACACTTAATGAAATTCCTTATAAAATTTATAAAAAGCTCTAAACATGAAGTAATTTTAAAAGTTCTTTTATGGCTAGTTATGGCTATCATATTTAAAATAAAAATAATACTTATAAATAACTAAAATAAGTAATAAATAAATATTAACATTATGTAAAAAAAAATCATTGCTTTTCTTAATTTTTTAAAATTTATTTCCCAAAAATGCATTTTAATGGGTAATCCAATACACATTCAGAGTGATAACATGAAAATAAAAACTAACTTTGAGTGCTTTTGCCAGGCAATGAGGTTGACAAATGTTGTTATCTTCACAATCAACGACCCACAGCATTTTGAAGGAGTTGAGGTTGAAGCGACAGACGGAGGTGGATTCAGAGTTCATCTTATTGAGTCGGGTCCTCTCTAAGAATTTGGCCTTTGCATTCAGTCCCACCAATCCTTTCACAGCTTCCCCCGCACCACCATCCTCAAGCCTGCTCAAATCAATCTTGCTATCGTCAATCACTTCCTGAATGGAGCGAAGGGCATTCTCCTGCTCTCTATCTCCACACTCTTTCTCCTTCTGCAACTTCTTCCGATTCATATAGGCAGTGATTATCCTTAAAAAAAAAGAAGATATTTTTGGAGTTAAAATGACACTATACAAGTAGAGCTCTGGTTTTTAAGTTGGTTGCTGTTGCGTACATTGTCTCGCTCAGGGTGCATAGCCAGATTTTTCAACAAAAAATAAGAGCTTGTTAAGTACTTTTAAACCACTCAAAAATATTTTTAATCACTTTCCAAAAAAATAAATTCATAATTAGGATAAGCGCAGTAATTTGTGTTTTTATCGTTTAAAGTTCTTCATTTATAGTCGTAAAATTTAAAAATATTATATGATCATGATAAAAAAAACTAGTTTCTGATAAATATTGCAGATGTAATTGTGAAAATCACCAAATTTTTGTTATTTAGAATGAAAATTGATATGACAAAGAAAAAACGCTTAATAGAACAATGCGAAAAGCATGCTATTGCACAATGCATGGCGAAAATCGACAGGGTAAAGAAAAAAATGTATCATTTTCGAAAATATTTTGATCAAGGGTTAGTCTAGGTCTTTTTTGAGAAGTACCTATTTTTTGAATATTCAAACATAATTTGTTAAAATTAAGAATTACATTAAAAAATTAATACAAAAATATAGTAAAGAAAGAAAATATTTTCAAAAATTGCCACTACAAATAAAAATCATTTATGACTGATAAGTTTCGATATGTTTTCCCCCAGATATTTTAAAATAATTTTACTATTGTAAAATTTTGGATTTAAAATTTTATTCACATTTAAAAATACATAGAAACCTTTGTCCACAGTTAAATTTCAACTTGAATTTAATAAAAACATGCATTTAACAATACTAGCACTAAAAGATATTTCCATTATGAGAACATTTTTGACAAGGTTATACAAAAACAAAATTTTACGAGACAGGAAGAGTTTTTGAACCTGGTTCATTTAAAGTATATTATGAAACTACCGTTTTTCCTAAAGTCGAATTTGTGAAGTTACCGCTAAACGGTAATAAATTTGCCCTGGACAGACTCCTGCGAATATTCTCTTTTGCTTCAATACTTAAGATCATTTCCATTGAAACAAACTGCTTTATCCCAGAAAACATTTTAATGGAGTAAAATATTATAGACATACCTAAAGAGAAAAGGTGGATTCTTTTTTATATGATCTTTGACTGAATTCACCATAGACTCTTCACAAAATTTCCTCACAAAAGTAATCCATTTGTTGCTTCCAGCAGCATCCTCCGACACGTCCGAATCCGTGTCCAGTAACTCGATGGTAAGTTTACCCTCTTCTTTGTACTGAAAATAATTAAACTCCTTAATAAAAGCATCTAAACAGGAAGAATTAATATTTCAGGTCTCGGTAGTGGGCCCGAAGAAAAATACAATAGGGTGGTCTTTGTTCTCAAATTTTGTGTGTTTTCTAGTGCCATTTTTTTCATTTCAGTTTACGATGAAATCGGTGTAAATAAAGAGAGTAAAAAAGTGCACGATTGAAATGTAATAAAAGTACGAATTAAAACACACAAGTAGTAATATCAGATTAAATGCATCGGAATTTCAAAAACCATGTGGAAATTTGTAAACAAAAAAAAAAAAAAAAAAAAAAAAAAAAAAAAAAAAAAAAAAAAAAAGATCGAAATTTCTTGGTGAAATGGGCATAAGATGAAATGAGCAAAAACAAGTAAGATAAAAAAGAAATTTTTTAAAGTAAATTCCTACTTAGGTCAACAGGGAAAAAAAAAAATTATTTCAGTTATCTTTTATTAAATAATTAAAGAATTAATATTTGAAAAAAAAAAAAAACTGCATTAAGTGTATGTGAATTTGTGTGGATGAATAAAAAGCTTTTTATTAACGATTGAAAATTTGAACAAGTTATAGGGAGAGTGCAAAACATGTTGGAATTTAATAAAGAGAGAGAGAGAGAGAAAAAGAAATTACTTAAATTAAAAAAATTCCAGCATCTTAATATTGCATTGAAAGTATTCGGTTTTTAAAAACCATGCTAAATTCCAAAGCAATTACGGCATAAAAAGCGATCGAGAAATTACAACACATAGGGAATTATTATAGTCATCAAAAAAAATAAAAACTGCAATATTTTTCAGTCATGATTGGCATTAAAAATACTTTAAATGCTATATATTATGTTTGCTTATAATTCTGAATAGTAATAGGCACTTATTTCATAAAAAAAATTAAATTTCTTTCAATACTTTAAAAAGTGAGTTCCGAATAACTGAACATTTTATAACAAAAAAAGAAAAAGAAAAGAGTTTTACTGATTTCTATAAATGAAGTTCGCTTCATTATATATTAGTAATATTGATATAAAGCTGAATCTATGTAAATTGAGATGAAATAAAAAGAATTACCATGAGAAGTTTAAATAGATTTTCATCACTCATTTGTTCAGCCTTTTTCTGATAGGCAAGTTCAGCTGCGACACGTTGAGATGCTGTCGCACAGGATCCACCCGTTGCTTTGTTCTTTATTTCTTCCAGGTACAGTGTAGTCCATTGCGTACAAGATTCATCTCCAACAATGTGCTGCAGCTATTTTAAACAAAATTATATTCACACACAAATAAAAATCTAACAGTGTTCTTTGTGTTTTACAGCCAAAAATAAGCATCTTTTAAGTACTTTTCAAACACTCAAAAAATATTATTAAGCACTATATACATTAACAAAATGTAAATAATTTTCAAAGACTTCACATGATTATGATAAAACATCTAGTTTCTGACAAAGAACTCTTTCCTCGATTAGCCACCATAAAAAGGAGATATTTTTTGACTTCAAGCATTAAAAATTGCATCAATCAGAATTTCTATAATTTTCCTTTGAATTTATTTATTATTTTCTTACTACTTTCTATAAGAAAAATTAATAGTACTTTAATTCCCAAAAAATCAAGTACTTTTTACCCTATAGCAGAATTCAAGGACTTTACAGGGCCCTGATTTTTTTCAACCAAATTCAATGACTTTCAAGTACCGTGGGAACCCTGTTAATTTATAAACATAAAATGAACAAAATGCAAATACATTTCCAAAAACTTTACATAATCATGATAAAATAACTAATTTCTGTTGCAGAGAAAATTGAGAAAATCTTTTTTTTGTTTTGTAATTTATGACGACAATCGACATGGAAAAGAAAAAATCTCCCTTTAAAGATAGAAAAATAAGCACTTTTTACAAACAATGAATAAAAAAAGAAGCACCTTTATTGGGATCTTAAAATTGTAAATCAAAAATAAGCACTTTTTAAAAATGCTATGCATTCTGTTTGGAGGTGTAATAAGCAAAGCGATTCCATCTTACCTGCCTCACAACATTCTGGATAACTTTATCCAAAGTAAATCCAAGGTAGGCTTGAATTCCAAACATTTCCCTTAAGTTGTCCTCATACTGGTTACTCTCAAGGTTGTTGTCTAAGAGGTTCTTTACCATGTCCATAAATGAAGAAAAACAAAACTCAACATCCAGGTTTTCTAAAAAATATTGATAGATTAGGAGTGTAGTACGATTTTCTGAGGAATTAAAAGTATATTTCTGATCTACATAAAAAAAATTAACACTAAAAACATCAATACTTAAATAAAAAACTTTATTACAATTAAACAAAATTGTATATTGCCAATTTTTATGTATTACATACATAAAGAATAAGAATTTTTTAATTCATTGCTCAACACATTTTTTACATATACAGGGTGCTTAAATAATACTTTTTTAGTAAACATATTTCTTTGAATTATTATAATTTATCCTAAGAACTTGTGCTGTCTTGACATTTTTCTGTTTAAAACCTAACAATTTGTTAGAAATGAAATAAAGCTATTAAAATAAAACATAAGCTACTTGCTAAAACATTTAGTTTCTGTCACCTTTTCTTACACTAAAATGCCAATCTAAAATATTAGGTACTTTCTTGAAATTTGAATTTACAGTTATTCTGATGGAACTCACTACGCAACAGTCTTAGCAGAAATGTAAAACGAATTAAATGCAATACATTGAACAAGCATTACACCTTAATTTCTGATCCGATAACCTTATAAAGGAATACATCGTTCTCCCTGTCAAATGACCGGTTGTGGAAAAAATAGGTATACAACACCTATTATCAAAAAAAAAAAAAAAAAAAAAAAAAAAAAAAAAAAAAAAAAAAAAAAGAAAAAAGAAGAAATAATAATGAAATATTAACTGTATATAATTGTTTGAAAAAGTCATGAAGTCAAATGTGCAAAAATGATAAGCGCATTTTCGATGCTAAAGTTCTTAAGCGGTCATTTAACCATTTATGGTATGTTTAGCGTAAATAAAGTATTTTCTTTTCATTGCATACCTGATTATATACACACTATAAAAAGTAGAAAGAGTAAATAATGCATTTTTATACATACAAATAGAATAAAAACGTTTTGCATTAATGGTTATACCTTAACAAATTCAAATACCTTGGCACTGTTGTTGATGATCAAAACATACTTAGAGCAGAAATCAACACTAGTCAAAATGGCTAAAAAGTGTTACTTCGGACTGAGGAGATGACGAATCTTCTCAGACAAAAAACAAACTCTATGAGACTCTCATACTTCTTGTGCTGCTTAATGAAAGTGAAACTTGCGACCCTAAATTCAGATATTACAACGGACACTTTCGAAAGAAAGGGGATGGTGGCGAACCAGATATAACTTTGGGATCTACAGACTCGATAAGCGCCCCCAAATTACAAAAACAGTAAGAGGTCGAGCCATCTACGGTATGCTCTGAAAACAGCGCCATCGTCATCCTTAAGAACAGCGAGGGGTCACGTCCCAGAGGCAGACCCTCTACTAGCTGGCTCAATGACAGCAAAAATGACCTGAAAACCCTAGAGATTGCAAATTGGAAGGGAGTTGGGTCAGCTGTCGAGGCAGCCAAGGCCTCCAAGGGACTGTTCTGCTGACTAAGAAGAATAAAATTGTGAATATTTATCCAGTTCAAATATAAATATTGCAGGTTTAAAGCATAGCTGCCAACCTCAGGAATAATAAATTAGCATAGTTGCCAACACTGATAGGAAAAAATCCAGTAGATGTTTACTCAGAATTTTGAATAGTAATAGGCTAATTCATCAAAGATAGTTAAAATATTTTTTTTAATTAAATTAAAAAGATAGTTCTGAATAAAAATAACCTGAATATTTTTGAACAAAAAAAAAAGTGTTGAACTATTTTTTATAAATGAGGTTTGCATCATTATGAATTATTAATACTTATTTAAATATTCAAGCAATAATCTGCACAAAAATTCTATTTCAATAAGGATTTTTTTTAAGGAAATTTCCTCAATATTAGGGAATTTTCTAAAATGTACAAAAACCAGGAGAAATTTTAATGAAACCAGTAAACCAGGAGAAACTGGCCTAATCCAGTAGTCTACTGGAAAATCCAGTAGAGTTGGCAGCTATGAATTAGGAACACTATATGCGACAAAATTATACGCACCAATTACAAGAATAAGACAAAATTTAACTATTAAATAACAACATTAATAGATATATATTTAAATACTTTATGTCATAAATTAGTAAAACAAAACTATAAAAACTATTTGTTTAAGGGGAAATTTATAATATTAATATCCTATAATTAAGAATATTGGTATAATAGATTAAAAACAACTATTACCTATTAATATATAATTATTCTTCGCTAAATAATAAAACACAGGTAAATAATAATTTACATCATAAATATTTCTGACGCAAGTGTTTAAATACTACTATAAATTTAAAAAAAACAAAAAAAACAATAGTTGTTTAAGACTCAATTTAGTGAAATGATCAGCAATAGCTATAAGAATAGTATTTTCCAATAAAAAGCGATTAAAAATTACTTCTGCACAATAATCACAGGAAGCGTGCTTGCAGCGATCAGACCAACAGTAAAAGTAACAATATTTGGATTTTTTTTATAAAAATATCAGATTAGATTTAAAAATTAGGAACATATCCGAAAAATTGTGAACAGTTATGTTAAAGGTACAATCAAAAGATTAACAATTATAGATTAAACTGGAAAAAATAAACTTACGGCGTGGCTTCAACCTCAAAGCGAGAGCAGTCGATTGTTTACGTTCCTCTTGATCCTTCAGTTCATCTGATATGAGCATTTGTGCACGTTCGTGAAGTTTCCAGAGGCGCTCACACAGAATATGATGCAAGCGAAAAAATATGTACCAGTTGTTATTTACAAACATAAGGTTATAGGATTCATCCTAAAGACAATCAAAAATTTCAATTAACTGATTTTCTTAGAAGTTAATTTGAAAACTTAGCAAAATTTCATAAATATTATACTTTTTTAATTATTTGTGATTTAAAATAAACTATAACAATACATTGTTAACATTATTACTTCATTAAAATTGTTTTACATGTAATACATAATACATGTAAATGCCCGATAAACTCAAAATTGAATGCATTATTATTGACTGATGAAAAGAAAGGACTAAAATAAACAAATTCAAAAATTGTCATATTTATTTATCTATATTTGAAATGACTATGAAGTGTCTCACTTTTATTGTAGGTTAACTTATAATATTTTTTTATAGAATAAATTAACTAACAAATTTATTTAAAGATTTAATAGGCTTTTCTTAAACATTCAATTGTTTTTCTTCATTCTAAGTTTGGATTCTGAAAAATCAAAAAGATAAAACATTTAAAAACTGCCAAAACTTATTGCATGCAAAATACTAATTGTGTTCTGTAACTACTCAGGGGTCTGTCTAGGTTTTTCTTAAGGAGGTACCTCTTTTAAGAAAATTTTGACATAATTGGTGAACATTAAAAATTATATTAAAAAATCAACACAAAAATATGGTAAAATAAGAAAATATTTTCGAAAATAGTCATTACAAATAAACATTTTTCAGGACAGGTAAATTTCTATTTATATATTTCCCATATGTTAACAACCAATTTCGTTATTGTAAAATTTTGAACTTAAAATTGTGCCCAAATTTAAAAATCCATAAAAATCACTGTCTACAGTTAAATTTCAACTTGAATTTAATAAAAGCATACATTTAACAGCACTAGCACTAAAAGTTATCGATATTAGGAAAACATTTTTGACTGGGTCACACAGAAAAGTTCCACAGAGAAAAAAAAATTTTATAAAAAAAATAGAGGTCTATTAGAATAATGTTTAAAATAATAGTTCAAATTTCGACTTTCTGCTAACTTTACAGAGGGACAGCCTAGTCATTTAATTTAAAATGACTAGTGATTGCGAGCCCAAGTCAAAATTCTGGAAAATTTCATGAGTAAACAAAAACAAGCCTAAATTGAAAAAAAATCTAAACAAGGTTTTTTCCTTTTTCTCAATATTTTTTCGTTTACTTAAAATATATTTAAAATTTTACACATACCTATGATGACCTGTAGAAGTAATTGAAATTTACAAATATGTCTTTATTTCTTGAGTTTATGATTATAATAACTATTTACTGATAAAAAATGAATATTAATCTTGAATATAAGCTTATAAAGTATCTGGCTCTCCCTTACAAACAAATAAAATAAACTGTGTTTCTAAGTTCCACCGAAATAAAAATTTGATTTCCGAAAACTTTTGTGATCAATGATTTTTAGAAACGTCTGAACCTTCGATCTCCGGATCATGGTTAGCGAAAAATCCATATTTTTTCCAGAACACAATCAGCCCTGTATAATAGTTAAGTTATAACGTTTGCTTAAACTCTATAAATTTCTCTTAAATATTTAGGTCAAATTTATATTACTCATTCAAACAAGTATGCATGTCGTTATTTTCACACATTTATTCTATGAGCATTATAGTTTTTTTTGTTTAGAGTTTACAATATCTCTTTTCCTCAAATATATACAGGGGTCTGTCCAGACATTTTGTGAAAGGTCCGTTTTTCGTGAAAAAATTACTCAGATTGTTTCAACCAGGGTCCGCTTTTATGAATTTGTGCAAATAGTTATATTTTATTGCAAAAAAAACTTCAAGGAGTTTTTAAATTGTAAAGACATACAAGATTATGCTCAACACTGTAAAATTATAATTAAAAAAATTAAATTTTAAAAAATAAACAACAATTGATGCTTCTAAATTAGAGATGCAACACACAAATATTTGGTATTTAGCCTATACTGCTGAACGCAGAATATTAATTTCGGACGAATAATGGAAGAATCGTCTGCCGAAGACAAAACTTAATTCGTTTACA